TTGTAAAACTTTTCATGAATACAAATTTTCATTTTTTTCCCACATAGCTCTGTTATTGATCACATGGGTGCACAGCTGATGGGACTATCTCCAGAGACTAACTGCTCTGGATGCAAGAGCTCTTCATTTATCCATAGAAGTGGTATAGTACGGCCAATGGCAATGCAAGCTCTATCACTGTGCCCTGTAACCGGACTTCTGGGTTTTTGTGGAGAGATGGCCATAGGGAAAGGAGAAGGCAGTGCAGTTACTTTCCATGGCCATTCAGTTGATTTAAAAAAAAAAAATGTCTGTTCTTTGTTGAGTAGCATCCCTATGGGCCATGGAGGATTTGCAGGCTTGGGTAGGCTGGCTCGCAGCTGGCCTGGCCTACCCCACCCACTCACCTGTTGGAGCTTAGAGGGTGCCCCACCAGCTCCAGAGTTTATGGTAGATCTGCAGGAAGTCAGCTGAGCATAGTCCATCCCTATCCCGGAGTGTTGGGTGGTTTGAGAGCATGGCCCCTAGTGCCCCAAGTACTGGGTGGGTGGGTGATGTGAGCATTGGCTCCAGCCGCCACTTGGAGTCCCTGACTGCAAGCCAGCCCTTGCTAGCTTCAGCCCAGGACACAGGTACCAGAATGCTCCCAAAAGGTGAAGAGAGGAAGCCCCCTGCTTGTGTCCCAGCCCCAGGGCAGATGGAGGGACCTAGGCTCCCCACAGTTGCCCAGGCAGCTCTTCCTGACCTGGCTCTGGCCTGGAGAAGAGGGTCTCTGAGCTGCAGCTTGGCTATAACAGCTATGCAGGAAGTTGTTGGGTGCTATGGTGGATTTCCCACCTGCCTGGACTGCAGAGATGCTTCACTTTAGGTGTGCTTTCAACTTTCTAGTTCCAGAAAACCAAAACCCTTGGTACTCCCCTGCCCTGAGGCCTTGCCTCTGCCCCCTTGCTGTGGTCTTATTTTCCTCCCTCCACCCCCTCATTCCATCCCCTCTCCCTGTAGCGGCAGACTGGGTCACTGATCCTTAGGGGATGCCCTTCACTTTCATTGGCCATTGGATCTATTGTATGCATTCCCACAACTTCTCTAATAGTTCTCAAATTTCTGCTCAAAATAAAAAAGGACAAAGCCAGAGTCGTCCTTATATTCTGATATGGCCTAGTCAAACATGATTTCCTTACCTGCTACAGCTGCCCAATTGTTCATGAATTGCTCTATTGTGCCTCATCTTCTGTCTTAGGAAAGTGGGAAGATCCTTCACGTTTGTCTCAAAGCATGGTTTACTAGTGGTTCACAGGAAGAGAACCTGCTCAGAGGAGGTAAAGAATATTACAACACCGTCTGTGCTACACATATTTTCAAAAAAAAAAAGGAAAATATTTGTCTGATGTGACTTTAGACATAGTCTACTAATGACCTCATTGTGGCTAGATATACTGGACTGTATCTTAATACTAAAGTCCAGGACTGTTTCTGAGTTCCATTAGAGATCACTTGGCAGCTATCAGTTTCCCACTTCAGTAGAGGGTTATTTTTTTCCCGCTCACCCTAGAGCACAGATGGATCGCCTTTTCACAGTATTTTTAAAGACAAGGTTATGTTGTGACCTTCCCACCCCAAATGTCTAGGTAAAGTTTCCCCTGAGTTCCATATTAACCAATCCATTCATCTGCCTGTCTTCCACCCTGAACATAAATAAGGGATACTGTTGCAGATGCTTATGTCAGGAAGCCCTATCCCTCTATCTGGGTAGGATTAACCCTTCTGAAGGACCCCCACATTTTTCTTATTCGCAGGAAGGTCAAAAGGGTCTGAAATATCTAATTAGATTTCTCAAGTGGATGTTTGATTACATTTATTCTTGCTATGAATCTTGTAATAGTCAGCACCTTTGGACATATGAACTCATTCTATGAGGTCCATGTCCATCTCTATTGCATTTCTCGAAAGTGTGCCAATTATTGAAATATGAGAGTATGGTGTTTGAGCTTCTATACATAAAATAGTTGAATGCTATGCAATAACTCCTGACTCTTCTGACACTGTGTTCAGCTTGGCTGTACTTTCTTCAGTACTCGAGTCTACTCCTAAGCCCCTTCTGCCTTAAAGGGAACTGCTGAGTAGTCACCAGGGTGTGGTGCACCCTAGGGACACTACTTGAAGAAAAATGGTTTCTCTGCATAACTTTTTTTTTTAAATAGGTGTACGTATGGGTGATCCATTACCTGACTTCCTCTGGTATAGGGTTCTTTGTGTTAAAGAAGAAACAGAGTGGCCTGCCTGTGCAGTTCTATATAACAATGGCGTGAAACATGAGGTTGACTAACCTGAACATATGGGCCAAATAGACACTCCTGTGAGATCTCCAAAAGGGCACAAGCATCCCTAGGGATCACATACTGCACAGGATGAATACCATTTCTTTCGTAAGTAACACTTTTTATTAGTAGATTGCAAAGCACTTCACAATCCCTGAGGGGGATTTAGCCTCATAAAACCCCTGTGGGATAGGGTAGTAGTATTCTCTCCTTTGTGCTGAGGATCCCCATCTGAAAAGAGAGACTACATTATTTTCCAGTCACACTGAAAGTTTTGCAGCAGTGCAGTGAATTGATCCTGAATGTCCTGAGTCAATGCTGTTACTACACCAAACTCCTTCTCTAGTCTTCTGAAACTAGAAACAATGATGCCAGTTAGTGTCAGTTCTGAAGATCCTTATATCTCTGGGGAAGTGGACTGAGATCATCTAATTTCAAAACTAGCTACTGATCAGCCATCAGCTAGTGTTAAATTTCAGCAGCAGCCCTCAGTGCCACTGGGAGGATCTCCCTCCTCTTTCAAGTCAGCTGTGAGATCTGCCTGGAATATACCACATGGCATTCTGGTGACTATTTAAAGGGCTAGGGTGGCAGTGGTGGCCAGGAGCCTTGGACCCTTTTGAATCACTGGACCCCGAGATAACTGCCCTCTTTGCCTCCTCTTGCCTCCCCCCCCCCCCTTCCAGCCAGCAGGGCTGAGGTTCAGTCACTACTTGCTTCAGCCAGCTTTCAACTTGCAGCCTAGAATTAAAAAGTTTACTATTCCCTTACTCAGTCCCTTGAGTGGCCTTTTTCAAGCTTTATATTTTAATTACCGTGGCAAAATCTGACATGGACAATCCAGAATTATTTTAAAATAACTCCTTGATGTACAGAGTTATTGTTAATTACACAGTTTCTATTCAGGAAATTTAATTATGGTGGAGGGAAAACGTCCCTCTGGCATTTTATTTCATCTTTCAGAAAAGGCAGCCTGAAAATGCTTCAGCAAGAACATTCTGGAAGCTTGTTGTCTAGACTGATGTAAGTATAATAGCCATCCATAATGGATTTGTGAGATGATCCATGAAATTGACCAAAAAGTCTTTACTGCAGGATAAAGGCTTTTGACTAATCTTGTTTAAAATTCATTTTCTTAATTTAGAAGGGAGGTATGGGCCTGGTCATTGGAACCTAAACACCTCTCAGCATTTCATTAAATGATGTCCTTGCAATTTTATGGTAAATGCAAATAGGATTGGTTCACTCTCCTTTCTGTTTCATTTGGTTTGTTGGATTATTTTTTTTCTTTCCTTTACATATGTCTGTATAATTTGCTTTGTGTTAATCAAGATAACCTCTCAGGTGCAGCTGTTAATACAGCACCCTGAACTACTCTTAACATCAGGTAAAAGATAATTGTGTGCGCACATCCCAGGTATTTTATACAAAGAGATTAACACTGGGATTTGTACAACAAAATACCAGTTGGGATGTGTTGGTGCTATGGAAATACCATACAAAGCTGTTCAGGGCTTGTACACAGCTCAGCAGCTTTGAGATGTGTACACCCTAGCATGTCTTTTTCTTGCTAGAGCAAAACTCATCTCTATTAAGATTTTACTTATCCAGAGAAACATCACAAATTAAATTTTGTGATTTGGTGGGTTGTTGGTTGTTCATTTATTTTGATTTATACATCATTTATAACTGTCTAGCCATACATCATAGGCTCCTTGACAACACAGCCAAAGTACAGTACAATTTAATGTAACTTATATCACCAGTGAACAAGGCCCCAAGTACTTGAATTCTCCTTCCTCCCTTGTAAATTTTTTTTTAAACTCCTCCACTTTGAAATGCTAAGAGCAAGGAGCGGAGTGAATTCCAAAGCTGTGACATCTTTGCAGAGCATGCCCAGCCAAAAGCCCCTCTCATTTTTATCCATGAGCAGCCATCTTAAGTACCTATGCTGATATCAACTGTGGCAGAATAGCATGATAGAGAAATGGCCTATAGCTATTTAAGGCTTGAGAGGTCAAAACCAAGGCCTTAAGTTCATCCTAAGAGAGTAGTGGTTTAATATGTTCATGGTGAGATTTTCTGTTTACCAAGCAAGTCATTTTTTTTCCACACTAGCTTCACTGTCCAGATGGTTTTAAATGAAGACCTATGTAGCTCTTGCAGTATCCCTGGAGCAGGGTTACTCAACTTTGGAAGCCCCAGGAGCCCCAATGATACTCACAGCACATGCCAATTGCCACAACTTAAATGTGGTAAAAAAAAAAAGGAAAATATTTGTCTGATGTGACTTTAGACATAGTCTACTAATGACCTCATTGTGGCTAGATATACTGGACTGTATCTTAATACTAAAGTCCAGGACTGTTTCTGAGTTCCATTAGAGATCACTTGGCAGCTATCAGTTTCCCACTTCAGTAGAGGGTTATTTTTTTCCCGCTCACCCTAGAGCACAGATGGATCGCCTTTTCACAGTATTTTTAAAGACAAGGTTATGTTGTGACCTTCCCACCCCAAATGTCTAGGTAAAGTTTCCCCTGAGTTCCATATTAACCAATCCATTCATCTGCCTGTCTTCCACCCTGAACATAAATAAGGGATACTGTTGCAGATGCTTATGTCAGGAAGCCCTATCCCTCTATCTGGGTAGGATTAACCCTTCTGAAGGACCCCCACATTTTTCTTATTCGCAGGAAGGTCAAAAGGGTCTGAAATATCTAATTAGATTTCTCAAGTGGATGTTTGATTACATTTATTCTTGCTATGAATCTTGTAATAGTCAGCACCTTTGGACATATGAACTCATTCTATGAGGTCCATGTCCATCTCTATTGCATTTCTCGAAAGTGTGCCAATTATTGAAATATGAGAGTATGGTGTTTGAGCTTCTATACATAAAATAGTTGAATGCTATGCAATAACTCCTGACTCTTCTGACACTGTGTTCAGCTTGGCTGTACTTTCTTCAGTACTCGAGTCTACTCCTAAGCCCCTTCTGCCTTAAAGGGAACTGCTGAGTAGTCACCAGGGTGTGGTGCACCCTAGGGACACTACTTGAAGAAAAATGGTTTCTCTGCATAACTTTTTTTTTTAAATAGGTGTACGTATGGGTGATCCATTACCTGACTTCCTCTGGTATAGGGTTCTTTGTGTTAAAGAAGAAACAGAGTGGCCTGCCTGTGCAGTTCTATATAACAATGGCGTGAAACATGAGGTTGACTAACCTGAACATATGGGCCAAATAGACACTCCTGTGAGATCTCCAAAAGGGCACAAGCATCCCTAGGGATCACATACTGCACAGGATGAATACCATTTCTTTCGTAAGTAACACTTTTTATTAGTAGATTGCAAAGCACTTCACAATCCCTGAGGGGGATTTAGCCTCATAAAACCCCTGTGGGATAGGGTAGTAGTATTCTCTCCTTTGTGCTGAGGATCCCCATCTGAAAAGAGAGACTACATTATTTTCCAGTCACACTGAAAGTTTTGCAGCAGTGCAGTGAATTGATCCTGAATGTCCTGAGTCAATGCTGTTACTACACCAAACTCCTTCTCTAGTCTTCTGAAACTAGAAACAATGATGCCAGTTAGTGTCAGTTCTGAAGATCCTTATATCTCTGGGGAAGTGGACTGAGATCATCTAATTTCAAAACTAGCTACTGATCAGCCATCAGCTAGTGTTAAATTTCAGCAGCAGCCCTCAGTGCCACTGGGAGGATCTCCCTCCTCTTTCAAGTCAGCTGTGAGATCTGCCTGGAATATACCACATGGCATTCTGGTGACTATTTAAAGGGCTAGGGTGGCAGTGGTGGCCAGGAGCCTTGGACCCTTTTGAATCACTGGACCCCGAGATAACTGCCCTCTTTGCCTCCTCTTGCCTCCCCCCCCCCCTTCCAGCCAGCAGGGCTGAGGTTCAGTCACTACTTGCTTCAGCCAGCTTTCAACTTGCAGCCTAGAATTAAAAAGTTTACTATTCCCTTACTCAGTCCCTTGAGTGGCCTTTTTCAAGCTTTATATTTTAATTACCGTGGCAAAATCTGACATGGACAATCCAGAATTATTTTAAAATAACTCCTTGATGTACAGAGTTATTGTTAATTACACAGTTTCTATTCAGGAAATTTAATTATGGTGGAGGGAAAACGTCCCTCTGGCATTTTATTTCATCTTTCAGAAAAGGCAGCCTGAAAATGCTTCAGCAAGAACATTCTGGAAGCTTGTTGTCTAGACTGATGTAAGTATAATAGCCATCCATAATGGATTTGTGAGATGATCCATGAAATTGACCAAAAAGTCTTTACTGCAGGATAAAGGCTTTTGACTAATCTTGTTTAAAATTCATTTTCTTAATTTAGAAGGGAGGTATGGGCCTGGTCATTGGAACCTAAACACCTCTCAGCATTTCATTAAATGATGTCCTTGCAATTTTATGGTAAATGCAAATAGGATTGGTTCACTCTCCTTTCTGTTTCATTTGGTTTGTTGGATTATTTTTTTTCTTTCCTTTACATATGTCTGTATAATTTGCTTTGTGTTAATCAAGATAACCTCTCAGGTGCAGCTGTTAATACAGCACCCTGAACTACTCTTAACATCAGGTAAAAGATAATTGTGTGCGCACATCCCAGGTATTTTATACAAAGAGATTAACACTGGGATTTGTACAACAAAATACCAGTTGGGATGTGTTGGTGCTATGGAAATACCATACAAAGCTGTTCAGGGCTTGTACACAGCTCAGCAGCTTTGAGATGTGTACACCCTAGCATGTCTTTTTCTTGCTAGAGCAAAACTCATCTCTATTAAGATTTTACTTATCCAGAGAAACATCACAAATTAAATTTTGTGATTTGGTGGGTTGTTGGTTGTTCATTTATTTTGATTTATACATCATTTATAACTGTCTAGCCATACATCATAGGCTCCTTGACAACACAGCCAAAGTACAGTACAATTTAATGTAACTTATATCACCAGTGAACAAGGCCCCAAGTACTTGAATTCTCCTTCCTCCCTTGTAAATTTTTTTTTAAACTCCTCCACTTTGAAATGCTAAGAGCAAGGAGCGGAGTGAATTCCAAAGCTGTGACATCTTTGCAGAGCATGCCCAGCCAAAAGCCCCTCTCATTTTTATCCATGAGCAGCCATCTTAAGTACCTATGCTGATATCAACTGTGGCAGAATAGCATGATAGAGAAATGGCCTATAGCTATTTAAGGCTTGAGAGGTCAAAACCAAGGCCTTAAGTTCATCCTAAGAGAGTAGTGGTTTAATATGTTCATGGTGAGATTTTCTGTTTACCAAGCAAGTCATTTTTTTTCCACACTAGCTTCACTGTCCAGATGGTTTTAAATGAAGACCTATGTAGCTCTTGCAGTATCCCTGGAGCAGGGTTACTCAACTTTGGAAGCCCCAGGAGCCCCAATGATACTCACAGCACATGCCAATTGCCACAACTTAAATGTGGTTGTATATTGTGTGTGTGTGTGTGTGTGTGTGTGTGTGTATATATATATATATATATATGCAAATAGCTTCTTTCACACTAACGCGCATGAATACAAAGATTGGCCATGTCTGGGTTTTACTGATGTTTGTATCAAATAACTTTGTGTATTATAGACCAATATTAGGCTACGGTCTTACTGTTTTCCAGTTAACAGGAAGCACCCAGAAGTTAAATTTTATTTTTCCATTTCAGATTTGAATATTCAATTGGACTCTTAGGCTACGTCTACACTGCAGGCCTTTTGTACAAGAACAGTTGTTCTTGCGCAAAAACTTGCAGAGCGTCTACACTGCACATTCTTGCGCAAATAAATTTACAGTACACCGTCGGAAAACAGGTCGTCTTCTGGAAGAGTTATTCCTCTCCCCATGAGAAATAAGCCCTCTTGCACAAGAGCTCTTCTACAAGGAGGCAGTATAGATAGGCAACATGAATTTCTTGTGCAAGAAAGCTCTATGGCTAAAATGGGCATCTGAGCTTTCTTGCACAAGTGTCCACACAGCCACGGATGCTCTTGTGCAAAAGCACATGGCAGTGCGGATGCGCTCTTGTGGAAGGCCTTTTGCACCAGGACTCTTGCTCAAAACAGTTCTTGCGCAAGAAGCCTGCAGTGTAGATATAGCCTTAGATTTTAAGACCAGAGGGGCCTAGAAGAAGGCTGGGCAAAATGTGGCCTCGGGGCCACATCCAGCCTGCAAAGCTGGATCTGGCCCACAGGTCACCCTTCCAGGACCCTCAGGCACACAACTGCCGTGGGATTAAAGTGCAGTCTGGTTGCTCTGTGCTCTGGAGAGAGAGAGGCTTTGTGTGATCTCCCTGTCCCCAGCCAATTTCTCAGCTCCTATTGGCTGGAAACAACCAGCCACCAGCCAATAGGAGCTGAGAGATTGGGATGAGAGCTGTGCAAGCCTCCTCTCCCTCCCAGAGTTGAGTCACATGGAGGGAATAGCCTGTAGCTCTAAGTGATCTGGGGCTGCAGCATGCAGGGAGCCCAACCTGCCTTGCAGGTGCTGGCTAGGAGATACTTAGGTAAGCGCCTCCCAGCCAGAGCCTGCCTCTGGTACCCCTACCCCTCTCACACTCCAACTCCCTCCCCTAGGTCATCATCCAAACCCTTTGCACTCCTCTGTCCTAGGTCAAGACTCCCTCCCAGACCCTGTACCGCCTCCTACACTCTTCTGCTAGGCCAGAAATCCTCTTCTGCACCCAAACACCCTCCCAAGCCCTGTACCCCAATCCCTGGACCCAGGACACAACCCCCTCCTTTATCCAAACTCCCTCAGACCTCTCACAGTCTCCTGCACCTCAGTCCTTTACCCTGTGCACCCTTCTGTACTCAGCCTCCAGCCGAGACCCCCCACATCTCCTTCAAAGAAAAGTGCGGCTCTTGACCACTTTCCAAAAATCTTGGAGTGGCCCCCCATGAAAAATTATTTCCCACCTCTGTTCTAGGGCTTGTACTATGCAGAAGGTCAGACTTGATGACTATAATGGTTCTTTCTAGCCTTTATGACTCTCTATAACACACACATGCATACAAAAACAAACCCCTATGGAACAAACGGAGGGGAGGTTATTTTTATTTCAGGCAGTTAGCAAGTGGTTTATTCCCCGTAGCATGAGGATTTATATGCCTCATCTTTGCTCTCTCTTACACCTATGGCTGTTTTTAAAGCCATTGAAATGGCTCATGGGGCAGCAGACTGGT